TATTAATTTTTATTATTAATTATTATTAATTCTAAAAAAAAAACGTAGAAAATTATGCTAAAATTATAATAAAACTAATACAATTCTCTTTTAAAATAAAATTATATTTCTTTTTCAGTATATAAAATTAATAAAAATTAACTTTAAATAATAAAAAACTTTATATATTAATTCGGCAAAAATTATATTTCTTCGAAATAATAATGTTATTATTATTTCATTATTGTTATTATATCTTTATGTTCTTTTTGTTATTATGAAACGTTTGAATATTTAAATTTGATACGTTGAATTGTTTATTATAATTGAGCTATATACATATAATAATCCTATTTAAATTTTAATTATATATAAATATACAATATCTATAAATCATACAAAAATCATGCAAAAAATTAAGTAATGTAATAATTTGTTTAGGAATTGAACTTTCTGTAATGTCAAGGTCTTGCAGTTTACTACTTGCAGCTGGAAATTAAAAAATTGATATGATAAGAATGTAAGCAGGTTTAAATCTCGTTTAAATATTTCATTTCCTTTGAAAAATATTATTTTTATGCTCAAACCTTTTTTATGATCATACCTTTTCTGGAAATTTTTAACTTGAAGCCGATTCACTTTCCGATTCTATTCTCGCACTATCTCTCATACGTTTATCATATAAATTGTCTCAAAACTGTCATATTTCAAGTTTCATCAATATAAAATCAATTTTTCTTTAATAATCTATAATTTACAGACCTATTTTCTTAAATTTTACAATTTAATCTTAAATTGTAATTCTGATAAAAGTTTCATTGAAATATCGATTAATTAAAATTAATTAAAAGTTGAGATTTTTATAATTAATTCAAATCTCTTCATTTTTGCCTAAATAAAAGTGGTGCCGACAATTCTGAGACAAGCCTTATATACCGTGATGTAAACACGTTTTCGCAGAAACCGTATGACTGTTATTTAGATCATCATATATTTCAATCGACGACAACAACAATAGCAGCAAATATACCGGTGTAAGTGACGGATTAAATGCGATGCAAACGCGGGACGGATTTTCTTCGTCGCGATGGCGAACATATGTTTTCTACGTAGCCAACGCAGCACGTACCGAGAGCTTTTGTTCACGGCGCGCCGATCGATTCGAGGGATCGTGCAACATTGTGCGCTCCATAGAAACAGAACTAAGCGCTCAGGTTTGGGCCAGGTGGTCTTCGCCCTTCCCCACTTGACGCGGCGATGGAACACGGCGGTTGGTAGGAACGCGAAACCCGCGCGCACGCATCAACAGCTGTTTCGCGCGTTTATCGACGATCTGTCCAGGAAAATCTACCCGATTCACCACCGTGCGCCAGCCATCGACTTGTCGGGACGAATAACGAATGTTTACGACGCTACGATATCGTAGCGCGATACGCGCATTCTCGATATTATAACATTTATCAACAATATTATCGATATTATAATATTTTCGTCGCGTGCACACATAGTTGAAAAATTTGTGTTAAATTTAACAGATATCATATATCTCAAACAATCCATACAAATTTTTGTGTTAATTTGACATAATATGTATATGTCAAATAATGATACTAATACTATGTTGATATTTTAACATAAAATAAATGCAAAAAGTTTTGAAATCTATCTCTTAAAACCATGCGAGTTGGATTAAATTTGACGGGGATAAATAGACCGCATTTAAAAGAAATAAGTCTCTCTTTTTAAATCATTTTTATTTATTTTTATTTTTAGGACACTTGAATGATATATAAGTGATTAAAATAAAAATCTGTCGCTCTTGCAAAATATAATATTTCATACGCAGTTAAAAATTTGTGTTAAATTTGACAGATTTTACATGTCCCAAACGGTCCACACAAATTTTAATTTAACATAATATATATATATGTTAAATGGTGACACTAATATTATGTTAATATTTTAACATAAAAAAAAAATAAATGCAAACCTCAAAGGAATTCGAAATAAATTTTGTGTAAAATCAACATATTTTTTAATGATAAAAGTAATATTTGGAAAAATGTTATTGACGATCTGTAGTCACTCTCACTCCTATTGTAGAATAAAGGGGGCAAGATGAAGAGAAGAGAAGGAGAAATAAATCAGAGATGCTTTTACTTACATTGTTGCTTGTGCCTGGACTCCATGAGCATCATTTGTTCGTGTTTGTGCCACGCTGCGTCGGTAGTGTCGGTTCCGGCGATGCCCCTCGCCCCCGCGGAGGGTGGCTGGACACCTCCGCGTGCCCCACCGCCCCCGCCACCGTACTCCATAACGGCGGTGGCACCCTACTCCGCCCTTTCGCTGCTGCCCTCGGCAGTCCTCAGACGCTCACAACATGGAGCCGGTCCTCTCTCGATGCCGCACACACAACTGCTCTCTATATTTCCTTCTCTTTTTTTCCTCTCCTCTTCTCCTTTCTCTCTCTCTCTCTTTCTCCGCTCCTTGCTTTATTCCCGAGATTATTCGCGTTCGCCTCTTCCTCGGCGATTCCTACGCAATATCGGCCAGGTCAGTCTCCGTGAGGGGGACTACTCCTCTGTAGGGGGGAGAAACACCGGCGATCCGGATTGGAGAGCATCGAAACAACGTCCAAACAACCGTGACGCGACGTATCCTTTCGCTCTCTTCCGTCGTTGCAAAATCACGTCGTCGTCGTCCTCTCCTTCCTTTCCTTCACTCGACGACTCGGCCCTCTTCTTCAGGAGAAGCGCCTTAAATCTTCCTTCGTTCGAGGATATTCTCGAACGTATCGTTTCGCGCTTCTCTCCGGCCAGGGCGCGTCTTTCTCGCTCTCATACGAAAAATAGCTCTTATTTACACGCACACTCACGAATCGCCTTCTCTTATATTTAGATATATATATATTTATATATGTATATGTATCTTGTGTTTCTCCCGTTCTCTCCCTCGTTTTCTCTTTCTATATACATATATGTGTATTGTGTATATATATATTTATCTCGTTCGCACGCTCTCACACTTTGACTAAACTTCTACTAACTTTTGGCGGTGATCCGTTGCGGTCTTTTTTTTCTCTTCCTTTTCCTAAATATATATGTATACAGTCAGAGGGTTCAGCCTTCGTTTTCTGTTTGTTAGCAGGTGCGTATTTCGAAAGGGGGAAGTGAGGAGAACGAGTGGGCCGCCTATTCACTTCGCGTCGCTGTCAGCCTTCATGCTTCAAACCGGCGACCGGGTAATGGGATGATACCTGAAATCAAATTATAAAAAATATTAACACGCTGATATTATACTACAAACGTGCGCGCGATTTATATTCGTAATTTTAAACACATTATCGTTATGGAAATTACATCGCGTCGAAAATATTGTCCTGTGCGACTCCACAATCGCATATACTCACTCCTATTGTAGAATAAAATTAACATTTTTTTTCTGTAAATTTTAACAGATAAATCTTGTCACTAATAATACGGAACATATCTACTGTATAAAATTAAAAATATGTGCACATTGTGTTATCTTTGAACTTTTTTCAGTTTTTAATAATTTAACACTTGAATTGAATCAACACAACAGCGATATGTTAAATTAACACATTCAACCGTCTCCAGATGTCGGTTCTCAGACTTCGATTGCGATTCGCAACGTCCTCGCGTGATCGTACTCTCGATATCTCAATAATTCATCGACTCCTCTCTCTCTCTCTCTCTCATCTCGGCTTATTATTATCCCGATTATATTCTTTTTGCGATAAGCACGATTGAATGTACGACTGTACATGGATCCGTTCCATTAAGGTGTCTCAAAATAAAATACAGAATGCTATAACTAATATATAAATAATAAATATAAATAATAAATATATAACTAATATATAAAGTAATCAAAAATAAAAATTTAACAATATCAGGCTTGATATTTCCCGAATTAATCATCGAAATATCCTGCAAATTTTTTGTTCGCGATATTCGAGATTAGAATAATGTATTAGCAATAAATTAATGCTTAATTATAATACATATATCCGAATTTGACAGAAGATGTCAGATCACTAATATTATCGTATCGATCACTAATAAATCGTGTTCATAGACAAGCGATTATCTAAATAACCCTGTGATTGGCCAACTTTGAAATCATACCTCAATGTAAATGTCTGTAAAGTAAATCACGCATACTATCGCAAAAAAATATGCGAGCGATAACTTAACAAATAATTAACAAAATTATAAATTATTCACCCATAGTTGCTTCTCTGATGCCTCTTCGGGTCTCCTCCTGTTCTCTTGTTTCCCCTTTGCTGCTTCTTCATGGCACTTACAAGACTATCGTAAAATACGACTATCATACTTTCCATTCCAATACTTTCGACGTTAATCATACACGATGCACATTTTATTTTACACCGCGACGAGAGAAAAATCAACGCGGCCGAAATTCACACAATGCTATCGCTCTCGTTAACGAATACACGCGCACTTTATACATATGGCAATTTTACTATCTCTTATAACTAATTATAATAATGGAGAATGTGATCGCGCGTACTTGTCACGACCGTAGTTCGAGAGATACTACGACGATACGCGTCTCACGTTGTTATCTTCCTGCTCGAGTCTCGCCGTAAGAATGACAACAAGGTGACCGCGTATAAACAACAGCGCTCTCAGATAACGGCGTAAAATTCGACGTTATTATTTATTGTTATCTATTTGTTTATTACCTGTTAAAAAAATTCGTGTTGGATACACGACTATTTTCAACAATTTTATTACATTATAATAATAAGACATAATAAACAGCCATATAAAATGCGCGTATATACTGTTTGTTAACGAGATAAATACTATTGCGTGAATTTGATCACACGATTTTCCAGTCTCGAGGAGATCATAACTCCGTGATTTTCGCGTTCTATCATCGCAATAAAGTATATTAACATCGCGAGTACCATAAAAAGTACCGTGTGATGGTTGTATTCTGGTTATTAAGATCGTAATTAACCGTGTTTTTTCGCAAGTAAATGCCATAAAAGAGCAGCAAATGACAAACACACAAAGAGAAGAAGAGAAGATGATACGAGGCGTCAAAAGATGGCGGAATAACTATGGATAAACAATTTATATATATTATTTGTAATAAATAAATGCTCGCTTATTTTCGCGATAGTAACTCACTTTACATCATAAATATCATTTATGTGGGTGGATTTTAAGATCCAATAAAAAAGGTTTTTATCAATTCTTTTATAAATAGATTGTTTAATTAAATAAGTTTATAATTAATATAGAATATATTATATGTATATGCATGATATTTAATTTGTCACTAAAAAAGGGGACGCAAAATGTGGATCTCAATTTAAATATCTATGCTATCACCAAAAAATCAGCTTATCGTATGACAATCGCGCCTAATAAACCATTCTGTAATCAGTACAGTTTTATTCCAAATAGAGATTTTTGAAATTTTAAAGTCACTCCTTTTTTATTTTTATTTGTCACATTTTTATTTACCACATATTTTCTTTTACAATCGATTTCCTTCATCATTATGCGTATAAAAATATTAAAGTTAAATCACCAAAAGAATCTATAACTCTTGTGTGTGAGATATTCAAAAAATAATTAAGTTTGAATAAAATCGCGACATGAAATATGTAATATCTTACAAAGTATTTATTTTCCCGTTATTTTATTTTAATACTTTTATATATTAAACAATGAGTTCAATAGATTTCTTTTTTTCTCTTCCTTTTCCTAAATATATATGTATACAGTCAGAGGGTTCAGCCTTCGTTTTCTGTTTGTTAGCAGGTGCGTATTTCGAAAGGGGGAAGTGAGGAGAACGAGTGGGCCGCCTATTCACTTCGCGTCGCTGTCAGCCTTCATGCTTCAAACCGGCGACCGGGTAATGGGATGATACCTGAAATCAAATTATAAAAAATATTAACACGCTGATATTATACTACAAACGTGCGCGCGATTTATATTCGTAATTTTAAACACATTATCGTTATGGAAATTACATCGCGTCGAAAATATTGTCCTGTGCGACTCCACAATCGCATATATTGAAATCTTAATTTTATATAATAAAAATTTTTTATAAAAAGTCCAAAGCAAATATAAAATTATATATTCACACACATACACACATATAAATTTTTTGTATATATAAATCATAATTTTTATTAATAATATTAAATAATATCAGAGATAACTTAGTATATTAGACTCTAAATATATAATAATATTCACTAATAAATAACATTTTTTATATATAATATATGTAATATATAATAAATACCACTATATATATGTAACTATATATATGTTTATGTGTGTATAAACATACATAAACGTAATATAGAAAAATCGAAATAGATTAAAAACTTTGTCTGCAATTTTTAAAATCCATTTTTTGAAATTTGAATATCTCATTGTAAGGCACGATAAACATGCAATGCTATAACATACGAGCAGCGGGGGGCGCCCCTTGGTAAATTAACAATTTACAAAGTAGCAAAAGGATCTATATCATCATCCGAAGTGTTGAAGTACGGGGATATTATCGTCGAAAATCCCACCGAAATTGTTGCGAAAGCAGCAACTGATTCGCTGATGCAACAAAGTTTATTTCGGTTTCAGTAACAAACTAGCAACCGTTGCAACCAAGCACAGATTGTTGCAAGCCGGCGGCGCAACATCCAACCTCCGACCAACCGTCTCCAGATGTCGGTTCTCAGACTTCGATTGCGATTCGCAACGTCCTCGCGTGATCGTACTCTCGATATCTCAATAATTCATCGACTCCTCTCTCTCTCTCTCTCTCTCTCTCTCTCTCTCTCTCTCTCTCATATCGGCTTATTATTATCCCGATTATATTCTTTTTATAAAAATTTTCACATATATTAAGAAAATTCTAATAAATATTTGTGCAAAACTTGATTTAGATCCACTTACTCGTTTAAAAGTTATTTACTAAAAATTGTAGAAAAATATTATCTCTCTCTCTTTCTGCAAATTAACCGTTTTTTTTTTTTTCTTACAGTTGATTTTAGAGGATATTCACAATCAAAAGTTTTTGTCATAAATTAGAAAAAATATTAATTACAACAATTTCCTTTTACAAAGACGTTAAAAACTATATTATTTTGTGATACTTTTATTCTTTTTATAATCCGGATTTATTTATTTGATTTTTCAAACAGTATAAACTTAAGAAATATGTTTCTTTTTTTAATTTTGACCGTTTTTTGCTACTATTGTACAGCCAAAACATCCTTAAATTTGCTTAAAACTGGCTTCACGATCGCGAGAGTCGTATTATTCGTTCGATCAATCTGTCTTCGACTATGTCCCATAGAGATAATAGCAAGAAATGGTTAGAAAAAGTCGCGGCTAATGTGTTAAATATTTAACACAAAAATTTTAACCGGCATATTTTTTAATAAGAAAACACAAATTTTCCAACTGTGCAGGATGATACTAAATTAACTCTTCATCTCCGTTAACTTGGTGTTTCTTTCCCCTTCCACCATATGGGAAATCAAATTCGGATATACGATATAGTTAACTGCTAATTTATTGCTAATTCATTGCTCTAATCTCGAATTTATTGCTCCTACCAATTAGCAGGAAATTGATATTAATGGGCTAACAGATGTAAGGATGTTGATGTAATATTACGTTAACACTCTCATTTCCGAAATATATTTATAGCGAATTGTAAACAAAAAACAAATACAACGAATTTAATCATTATAATTGTTGATTAATGGTTAATTAATTGTGTTATAAGATAGATTTCAAAATATTTTTTATTTTTATTATGTGATTCTACTTTAATATTTTTACATGTACAACGAGAGAGAAGAAAAATCGATTTTTATGTAAGTAAAAATTTATGATTCTACGAAAAAAATAAATAAATAAATAAAATAAAATGAAATAAAATGAAATAAAATAAAATAAAATAAAATAAAGATAATCTTGAAATCTCGCAAATGCATCCGCCTGGAATAAAATCGTATTATATAATCACAGGCTATCTTCCTGGAAATCGAGCACCATTGATGTAAAACATTTTTCATAAAACCACATATCTTACGATTTATTACGGATAACTTCCAGTGACTCACCCTAATATACACAAACGGCAAATATTTCTTGTTTATAGCGCAGGCAACATTCACGCCATATTAGGCGGAACGTGTGTATAACGCGTTGCGATGCAGCGCACGGAAGAGGCCGGCCGTCATATCATAATTAATGGCTATTATTATCCAGACATTCTTCACCAGACTAATAATAATACCCTCGCCCACTTTCTACGATCTATTTCTGTCTGCTTACGTATTACGCGAAACGTTTGCGCATACGTTGACACAAAACGAAAATTTCGGGACTGTTATTAATTATTAATAATTTCATGCGCAAAGAGATGTCGATTCTCTTTCTCTCTTAATAAACCTTTTTATAAGTATAATAGAGTAAAATTGTAGATAATTTAATTTTAAGCACGAAATCCTACGCTCTTATTAGTTCTCATTAAACAAATTTTTGAAACATATGATTGATACAATATAAATATCTACAATCTTTAAATTTAGCTTTTTTATAAAAAGCCTGATCTTATAAAATTTTCTGTTAATATCTGTTTGAATTATCGAATATTTTTAAATCTTTCATATTAATTTCACTGTAAATATACGACCAATTTATTAACTAAACTTTTTTTTTGTGTATTGTTTATAATTTTATTTTATACCGTGAAAATGTATATAAATCTCAAAAAAACCATAATAACATGCTAAAAAAAAGAATATCGATTTATTCTCAGGCAATAATGTTATATTACAATGCAGCATACAATTATGAAGTATAGAACGTGCACATATAATGTATAGTAACATTGAGAAAATGTATACATATTCTAAGCTATGCAACTATGTCACGGTTATTGTGTGCATTCACTTTCAGGAACTTCAAGACATCACCTGCACGAAATATCTGCAGTGAATAAATAATTCGAGAAGCGAGATTAATTAGACCTTATGCCACCGTATCGAGAACGTTTACGGTTATCTCACGTTTGTTCTACGATGACTGATAAAAAAGAAAATTGTCGCGTATTCTCTCTTATAAACATAGGACATCGCGAAACATTAATCGATATCGTGGACTTCAAACCTTACGATGTTGCAGTATCATCTTATTTATTTATATTTACAAGTACGCGCGAGACTCTGTCACTCGCTTCCTCGTTTTCGATGCAAGGAGACAACGGCACTTTATCCCTGACGTGAAAGTCGTTCGCTTTTCTTCCCTCATCCTCATCCATTGACATTCTCGTCGCGACGTTGGCGACGACGTCTCCCCCGTCTCTCTCTCTCTCTCACCTCTTTACCCTAGGCTCGTCTAAGACGTCGATATTGAAAACGCGTGACTAATGATTATTGGCCGCACCGTGTTTAACAGCTGAAACGATACGCTCGATCTATCACGTGACTTCCATCTCTTTCGCTCGTTCTCTTGCAAAAAAAATATTACCGTCGAAATGATTCGTGAGAATCACAAATAAACGAAAAGAAGAATCTTAAATAAGCGATAATAAAAATAATTATCCGTTACTCGTATTCGACGATTATTGCTTAAAAGGGTCTAATTTAATTTATCTCAAAATTATACCTCGGTTATGTTATACGTATATTATAAATCTAATTCACAATTTATTTAAAAATTATAACTGTTATATTAGAGCGAAAAATACTCTATGATTATTTAGTATTTATTTATCTACGATATTTGTGTAGACAATATATATTTTGGTTTTATATTTTCATACCAAAATTTTTGCAAAAAAATTTTTACTTTCGTTGTGTTTGCCGTAAAAGTAGATTTTTATTCATGTTAATTTATACGTATTGTCTACAATTAGAATGAACAATTGCACAAAGTTATTTAATCACATGATAATGCCCAATTATAATTTTATTCACAAAAAATCTTATATATATAAATAATAGATATAAATAATTACACAAAAATACACATACACATACAAGCACATAAATTATACCGAGTGATGGCGATTTGTGAGTGCACATGTTGTTCCTTCACTTAACGAAGCAGATATTACACTAGACTCGCGCGGTCGCTTGAATTGGTTAAAGTGTACGCGGTGAAAATACGAGTGCGTTTTTGTAAAGAAACGAAAGGCATAGAGACAAAAGAAAAATATGCGTGTCCACTGCGACACAGCGAGCTACGGTGAATAAAGAAAGGAAAGAAGAAAGGGTCTTGAAGTTGCAATAGTAGTGTAGTGGTCGTTGCACCTCTATTAAACTGGCACTTCTACCAGAGAAATCAAACTCGGATATACAACATAATTAAGCGCAAATTTATTGTTCGAGTCCCGAATTTACTGCTTCCATCAATTAGTAATTAGAGATTAAAATAGAGATGATGTCTCTTGCCATTACATTAATGTTCGCAAAAAATACATATGACGAGTCGTATATATGTATACAGAGAAAAAAAAGTTGTTAACTTGACTAAATTCGCTCAACTAATTACTATTTTTCTGTACTTCTTTGAAATATTTAAATATTTAAGTCAATATATTTAAGTCAATATATATTAAATATTTAAGTTAATATTTTTAAGTCAATATTTAAATTGAAATATTTAAA